ATTGAAATATTACATTCAATCAAAAGAAAATCAATAATCATATTCGTGGTATTATAATAAGGCAATTAGAGTGCATATGTTTTAAAAGTTCATTAATTTTTCTGTGTGACAAGCAAAGATTTATGTTGACTAACTAAGATGCTTAAAGAGCATATAGACTCGATAATTTGACACACATACAGCAAATCAATCTATATTGTCAAGTGAATAAATTGGGAATCAAAACGATACTGTCAAAAAATTTTCACGTCTCCAGATTCAGAGTTACAAAAAACTTAAATCTTTCATATATGATAATAAAAAGAACAAAAATCTGCTGCATAGTATAAGTTATAATAAAATAAATCAAGAATTATAGAGTTAAGTAAGAAATTAAATAGAACACTCTACTGCCGAATAAAGATACAAAATAAATTAATAATAAGTAGTAATTTATGCAAATGACATACCACTGATATGTAGGCAATACTTTTTCCAGATTGCTTTAACATACTTATTAAGTCCATCAAGAAATTCCATAGATTCCAGAAGATATCCCCATCGAGACAGGAAGATCATGTTTAAGAGATGAGAGCTCAGAGTAGAATTCCAAATTTTCCAGCCAGCGTTGACGCACCACACTTATAATCGTTCAGATATACTTCCGAAAAATCGAATGATCCGTCTATTTCACAAATTACAAAGCAAATATTCCGCGTAGCACGAGAGATGGCTGCAATGACGAAACAATAATGATACTATAGATGGAGAGGAGACAACAATGTCGCGACAATTATACGTAGTAGCCGTTTAGCCATCTTGCCAAAAATGTGAATAAGACGATAAAAGACGGCCATCTTGGACACATACCACGTACGACGTACAAATCGAGTATAACTACATAATTAATAGATTAATTGAAGACAAATACAATACTTACAATAACTAGACATCGTTGTTAAAGAAAGACAGTTTTGATAATTATAATAATTATGGACAATTACACAAGGGAACATCACAGGGAGCCTGCCGTGGCTGTAATAATCCCAGGAGACGGGAGATCTTCCGTCTAAGTACAAATAATATAAAAAAACATATAATTAGCACAATTAACCATATAAATTATACCTTAACATAAACAAAAAGACAACAGAAATCCGAGGAATACAGAAACGTATATGAAAAGTCACACTACAAATCATTACCAAGACACAAGGAGCGGAGCACGAGGCACACACGTCCGACCGTCACAGCAGCCAACCTAACCTAACCTTTTTTT